TTTTTCTTCGTTTCTTTGATAAGTTGTTTGCCTGTTTCTTTCTTCTTATTTTTTTTTAATAAGCTGAGCGGAACAAACACAATATGAAAAATCGCTTCTTAATGATACGATAATAACAACACATGCTGTATACAGTGAAGCAGACCGGGAATGGATTTATGGTGTTAAAACTATTTATTGATCTCCGACAATTACGAGTATACAAGCCGGGAACTTTCATATATTCTGGAAAATACCGACAAAAATTTAGATAAAAAGAATGTTATATTTATAAAAATAAAACATTTATCTCATCAAAATATTTTCAGGCCAGAGACTGATCCTTCGGACCCTTTCCGCCGTATGCCAACGGATACCTACCCAAAACATGTCGTTTTTGGATGTGCTACTCTTTTTGCCAAACGAGCTAGGTTCTTGTCGTCATCTCCAAGATTATTAACAATACTTAAGCCGTACGTATGCAAACTTGCAAGCCAAGAATACAAAGAAGATTCATCCGACATGATATCATGGAAAGAAAAGGTCGGTACCTTGTCTTTGGTCATTTCAGAACCCCAGTTCCTCACATCCAGTCCATCAATTGGGTCCATCGATGACGGGTTTCTAAATTTCCTTAACCAGTTCACCGAATATTGGCTTTTGTGTTGGTCTGACCAGTGAACAATAATTGACTGATGAGTAGAATCCAACTCTGCTTTGATTGGCTTAACATCAATATCAAGAGTGTCCAGCGGGAGGATTCTCTCTCGAGACGTCCTGTCATGACATTCCGAACACTGGCAATTGTCCCTTAACCAAACGAATGGAAAGCGTGCCTCTGTTTCGTCGTTAAATAGGAGATAAATAGTCTCGTCTTCAACATGTTGGTATTTGGCGGCAGTGATTAAATTATCCTTAGGCGGATGAACTATCGTCGATAAATAGAACCGGTTACGTAAGCCTACCCAGTGAAGTTTGGTTGGATACTGCGTCCTGCAATTTCGGCGGATCAGCCTACGTAGGCTTATTTCTACTGGACATGATATGGAAGTACAACTCAATATATTCAGATAGCTTGACCTCTGAAGTGACCGTAACATCACGATTCTGTAAAACCGCCCAAGCCTACGTCCGTATTCTGAAAACAAGCTGCTTAGTCGAACTGTTTTACTCCACAAAAATATTCATGTACAAACAATAGAATACCAGAAAAACAGCGCAAACTATTGCTGTATGCAGGGAACAACTCCCTGTTGTATGTCGAAATTTTTTCTTGATTTGGACCTTGACTGATCGGCTCTGGAATTCAAATTTCCGCTAAGCCCCGCCCCTTGGATATTATTGCAAGTAAACGAGGTCCCGAGTTTTGCGCTATACCAATCTATCTATTATTATTACTATTGCTAAAGTCCCACAATACGGCTGCGTTAAAACACACAAACAATTGCGTTTGTTGGTCAAGACAACAACAGGGACCGGATTTATCAAAATAGAAAACAGCTTAAATTCTTGTTAAGTCCGTATTTTTGCTTAAGTCAAATTTAATTGCTAAAAATTAAAGAGCCGATTGTATGCATGCGCGATCTAAGATGATTTTTAGCTAAGATTTTGCTAAGATGGTTTGATAAATCAGCCTACTTGCTTATAGTCTGTTGTCCTATGTAGAAACAGCAAAATTTTGGGTAGATTCTTGGCAATTATGTTAAAACATCTCTAAAAACACTACTGATCAAGAAAAAAGTGGGTGTCAGTTTTTTTTATTCACTCCTTGTTCCTCTATTTTGAAATTAAAAATGGCCGCCTTTTTAAACCGATTTATTTGTATTAAAGAGTGTTTTAAACATTTTATTGGTATTGGGTAAGTC